AAGTTACGGGTAAGTAGGCGCACATGCGGGTGGGCGGGGCTTCCTCTCTCTCTCTCTCTCTCTCTCAAAGTGAACGCGGTACGGCCGCGAGGGAGCGCGGACGCGGGCCAAAGAACGAGCAGCAGCGCACGCTCCTGCCATCCAAGCTTCGGGTGTCGCGCCACCACCTGCTTCTCCTCCCCCATAAAAGGCCTTGAAGCTCCTCCTAGGAAACTCGCCAAACTGCAACCACATCCTCCGGAAGAGCTGAAGGGAGAGGAAGCGTTGGCCGGCATGAAGATGATGAGGAGCCACGGGAAGGCGCCGCAGAGGGGCGGGCTCAGCAGGGCGCTGCGGGAGCAAAAGGCGAGGCTTTACATCATCCGCCGCTGCGTCGTTATGCTCCTCTGCTGGCATGATTAGCCGTCGAGCGTTCGACGTTTTGTCTCCCCTTTTCCTCCCTGCCAAAGTCATGATGGGACTTCAGCTCGGCTACTCCTTTTTGACATGTACATAGATCTACAGGCCATGAGAGATCCTTTTTCCCTTCCACTGGAAGGCAAGAGTCAAATATATGAACATTTTGGGAGTTCAAATTCCATCTCACATTGTCAAAAAGTCATCTTCATCTTCTTGCTTTGGTGTTTTCATCCATGGAAGTTGTTTGATCTTGCATGCCATTTGAGACCACACATCAATGGAACAATTTTTATCTGAGTTTGCAATGAATTCTCCAATACAAACCTTCGAGTTAAATAGTGCAAGAAGACTGCCTTGGGATGCAGACTCCAACACAAATATTTATCTGCACTGGCTCATGGGAATCTTGCGCTGCAGGGAACCTGAAACTTTTCCTGTAACTTTGGGCACCATTCCTAAGGTTCTACTTCTCTACACTCTTCACATGTTCAAACTTAAACTTTTCTAACAAGTCTTGAAGAACACCTTTGCAGGAGACTGCAAAGATCTTCTTCTTGAACTATGAGAACAGCAGGGAGTTCAGGAACCAGTGTTTCCTAGCTTTGTTCTTCTTGAAGGACCTAAGGTGTGTCATGTATTTGGCTTCCATAGAGAGACCATTTTGTAGCTCATGCACACACCTCCTGTATGTTTCACTGGCAATTTCTGAGGTTAGATTCATGGTTGCTCAAACAAATGCATCAATAATATGGCATATTATGTGCAACTAATCATATGCTTGCAGAAGATGCCTTTAGTTTTAGTAACAGTTCATTGAGAAAAAACTTGAACTGTCTTGATAGACATTTTGATAGCAGTAGAGGTACATTTTCTGATATCATGGTAGTATTACCTGAACCATAGAGGTAAAATTAATTGAAGCTTCTCTGTTCCTTTTGCACCAAAGAAAGAAAAGTCAAATGTAGCTTCAACTGAAAATTTTCCTTAAAAAAAAAGAAAAAGAAAGAAACTACAAAAGCTGAGTTTTTCATGGTAAGTGCAGAAGTACTGAGAAGTGTTCTTTTGATGATCAATAGTATAAAAACATCTGAAAGATCCTAATGATAGAGTATGATGTCTAGTTAGGAATGTGTGCTGATCAATAAGATAAAATCATCTAAAAGATCCTAATGATAGAGTATGATGTCCAGTGAGGATGATGTCTCAATCACAAGGAAATCTATTGTTCTTGATCCTAATTCACCATCAAGTTAAAAGATTCCATGAAACAGATGTAATTTCAATTACAAAAACCATTTTCTAATTCTTTTTATCTTTGCTTATTGTTGGAAGTTGAAAATTTGGGAAATAAGATCTGCTTCCATCCTTTTATTTACTCTGATGGCCTGCAAGGCCTAAAGGCATAGATAGTCCACCATAAAAAAGCTTGAGCTGACTGCTGCAGCCTTTTCTGCCTGTATTATAGCTGAAAAATTCAACTACTTATCTAAAAGACACAAAGCTTGATCTTGATAATTGCATTAAATTGGTGTTATTGTCATTATAAGATCTTAAATGCCTTTTGATTAACATTAGCACTGGTGAACTGTTTGCTCCTCAAGTTAGAAGGTCAAGCATCCATTTCCTTTCATTCAACTTATATTCTCACCAATCAATCACTAATTGGGTCCAGGAATGGCCAAAAGGACCTTCCAGAGGTAGCAAGTCAGGAAACAATGTGTTCAATAAACTCTCTATAGGTTGCAACATGCAATTTCCTGTCCATTATTATGATCTTTGATGTGTTACTTTTAGTAGAATCTATGTGATATATCAGCACATCAGTATTTGAGACCCATCTCAGTGATCACAGACCATTGCATAAAGGCAAAATGACTTGATTGCAATCCATTCAGTACTTGTCAGCAATATAACAGAGAAGAACAGGATCATTAGATGGAAATCTCTATATAAGATATTGTTTTGCTTACCATGTTCATCTCAATTCTCTAACTAATGAATTTTCTGACAGATTCACATAGACAGTGTGGTTATTACATTTCTTGAAAAGTGTGAAGTGATATGAGGCCTCAAGTGACTTTTTTTTTTTATTTAACTTGAAAAATGTTTCCAGCTAGCTTGATTTTTTTGTGTTCAGCTTTTTGTAATACTTCTCTCTTTTATTTTTTTTTCATCTAACACTCTTTTTCCTCTGGAAAAATCTCTTTCTTATTTTTATCTAATCCTGACTCTGGATTTGTTGAAAAGAGATGATAGAATTGGCACTTCCTTTGCAAAAATCAAAATTTTTGAGAGAGAAAGAGACTGCTTGGTACTTGAAACAAACCATTTATGTAGGACTTGGGAGTCATGGATGCTCCATCATAAGCCTGCTGAGAAAGATCACACTTGATTCATGGAAGTGCATGGATGAGCTACACAGGAAAAGTTCATGGAGGAGTCATTGGATTCCTGAGGACAAGAGAGAAGCATACACAGTAATGACAAGAGAATATTGAGAAACAGCATCATTGTCCCATTTTGACAGAAGCATCAGTGTTCATTATTTCCTTGGAATCAATCCACTCTAACAGAAAGTGGCAAAGAAATATTCTCTCTCTAATTTTGAGGTAAGACAAAGGAACATAATTGATGACCTTCAAGTATGTAGCGCAAAGGGATCATGTCAATCATGTCAACTGTACTTTATTATTTGTTCTTCCCATATAGCAAATCTTTTTCTTCTTACATCTGTGAACTGTAACAGCAGCTTAAATCATCAATTATGTTCAGTATAAATTAGGGATAATTATTTAAGCATAGTTATGATTAGGGATAATTTTCAGTATAAATTAAAATCTAAAAACCTATCAGTATTGTCCGATAAGTTCTGTCACTATACCCGTAATCGTAAGATACCCGTAATCCAAAAGTTAGATTTGTCTTTTCTAAATTTACGATCGATATTATCCGATAAGATCCATTACTATCTTAATTATAAGTAATTGTATTATCTAATAAGATTCATCGTTAATCTTTTTGAAGGAAGGTGCTGCTTGTACGATTTTATCTTTCTATAATATTAGGCTTTGGTTTTTCGATTAGATCTTGTATATTTTGGGTTCAGGTCACGTCGCGATCAATGCCACCCCACGCTATAGCAAAGTCAACAAGAGGAGCACCCCCACGCATTGAGCCAGAATCTGTACCAAGGTGTTGCTCGGTACGTCCTGTCCGGAAAAACTCGGGATGATGTCACATGGCGTCGTTTCGCGCATCCCGGGACAGGTGGCCACACAAAGGTACCATCTCACCCCTCAAGGATCGGTCGTCATATTAAACTCGCATATGACCGACTCTCGTACAGTAGTATAAAAGTCTCTGCTCGGCATCTGACCTAAGAGAAGGCAAAAAATAAATCAACCCACCACTAACGTGCTCGTCGGAGGAGCCAAAGTCGGCAATCACCCGACGAGAGCCATCCTTATAAGAAAGCGATCACTCTCGAGCCACGAGCATTCTGACCTTGGAGTCGTCAACCAGTATCCCGACGACGAGCCTCCAACCAACGTCCGGGCCGAAAGACGCCAATCAACATTCCGACGCCAACACCCTATTTCGAGGGCTTGACCAACCTTAGCAACGAGCTCAGTTGATCGAAGACTTTCGATATCGACCCGTGGACTAGGTCATACTGATTTATTAGCCACGAGTCATTGGTTCATCAACTGATCTAATTCAAGAACAAGAGTGCATTGGTAAATTCCCATCTTTAATAATTCCATGTTGCAGCACATGAGATGTTTCTTATCTCCCTTACATGGAAGGAAACGTGATAAAAGTTAAAAGAAGAAGCAGAAGAAGAGAACAAAAAGAAAGAGAAGCAGAGACATGACATGCAGGAAATGGAATTCAAAGCTAGAAATGATTGATGGGTGTCATACAAACGTTAAGTACACTCCATCACTGACGTTGTTGCTCTTTAAAATGATGAATCAAATCATGAATCAACTTTGTTCATCTGTCCATTTGTAGGTACTTAAAAGAAGAAGACACATAACACTCCTAACAAGCGAATGATTAATCATTCGAATTTAAATATCCTTCAAAATTTTGGGTTCAAACAATTGATAAAAAGAATAAGATAATTTTTTGATACTTCAAATCTTAATAATTTAGATCGACTTTCAACGCTCGCAATTAGGCTCGGTTCCACTTTCAAGATTCCATTTTTAGGGTCAGAATTAGATTGAGTTATCTTCGCAATTCAAATCGATGATTGATTTTTGGACTAATATCTTTTTTCCTTTGAAAGCAAAAAAAAAGAAGATATGATCATATATATAATCTATAGTTAATGATTAATCATGTGAATTTAAAGAAACTTATAAATATGTCATTTGATCATTAATCAAAACTTAATTGGATGTCCTTCAAATTTTTTAAAAACACGAGGGTTCAAATAATTGATAAAAATAATAAGATATTTTTTAGATACTTAAAATATTAATGATTTAGATCAACAATAATCCATGATCGGTGGGTAGTTGATTGTATTTTATTGGGGGTAGAAAAATAAAATACATAATATTATAATTAGAGAGAAAAATAAAAAAAGATATTTATTCAAAACGAAAGTCCCTCATTTTTATTTTTTTCAATTAGTGTTATTTTTCATTTATTTTTGTAGAGCTCTCCTTATTTTCTAAAAGATGAAATTACTTTTAACTTCTACCCATCACCCTCGCCTATCCTCCTCTTTTCCTATGCCTTCACCTCCCCTCTCCTCTTTCTTCATTATCTTTGTATATCGTTGTCTTGTCTAGTTCACACACCATCGTTATTATCCTTCCTTACGTACCCTTGTTATCATCTTCGTTCGTGCATTCTCACTCATGTCACTTGTACATTCGAGACAAGAGACAAAGATAACTTTTGACTTCACATGAGAGTGTCGGATGGAGGTAATGCGCTACTCCATGGTGGAGCTTCGGATGTAAAAAGGTGAGATGCCTCATTGACAATCCTTACGAGGACAAAAAAGATTGATCGTACAAAGCAATGCTTAAATTGATCGAAACTCGAAAGTCGCTACGAGAGGGGATAATAAAGATAATAGTAAGGGTGCACGAGCAAGATGAAGTGGAGGATGCTGACACTAACGAAAGTATGTGAGTGAGATGGGGCAAAGACAATCATAATATTCGACGATAACGGATAGTAAAAGTGATCATGACAAAAACGGAGGTCAAAAGGTAATTTTATTATTAAATAAGAGATGTTTTATGAGAATAAATAAAAAATATCAATCAAGAAAAATAA